TACATTACATAACACAGCATTTCACTAGTAAGGAGAGACAGAAGCATACGTATGCTGTATGTAAAGGTGAATGCAAGTGTTGTTGGGCACACAGGTGGAATAAAGCTGGGCTAATGGAAACATAATCCATCTCCAGCTTTCTCTCAGTCTGGGACTCGGTCTGGTGGCTCCTCCATTTCTCATTCTTTCCTCCCCTTGGTGTTCTTTGGTCGTTTCCATCTCTTTCCCATGCTTCTTTTCTTTTTCAGTCTTAGCTATGATTGGGGAAAGTAAGCTGACTCTATTTTAAAGTTGGACTTATCCACCATTCATTTGTAAAAACTTGAGTCTAAGATTTTGGCTACTGCCATGTTTGGTTTTCTGAAACCAGATTAGGGATACCAGAAATTTAGCAGTCGGTACCAACACTAGTAGTATTACATGATTCTTGACTCCCAGTTTGATGCCTAAATGATCATCCCATATACTGACACATCCATGGGGTGGCAGATTATTTATTTAAAATGTTAACTTTACATTTTGTTGACCACAAAGTGCCGAGTAGGATGCCAACGTTACAGTGTCATTATGTTGGCACAGTTTTAGCTATTGCTAACATTTTAGCCCATGGAACAAAGTTGATTTCACACCGGTAGTGCCAGCTGTCTCAAACTAAATGGTAAAGTGCATTTCAGAATACCATAAGAAGGATAACATTGTGAATGTTGTTACTGTGAACAGAAACTTGAATTCTGTGTGCTGGTCTTATAGCCAACTTATTAAATTTGTAGTATTTCTCTCTCTTAGTCTAAATAAAACACAATAACATAATTTTTATATAGTTTGTGAGTCAGTTATCATCCTTGCCTACTGTCGTGTTTCCACAATTATGATGCTAAATGGCACTGTAGAAATCATTTCTGGTAACATCCGTAAACCAGATGTAAAGATTGAAGATTTGACTGAGGAACCTGCATGCCCAAACCGTTGTGAGCGCTAGCTACGCATTAAAGTTTGTTTGATGAAACATCTTTCTCCACTTTGGACATTAGTTACAAAATAACTGCGATGTTGTATTAAATACAACATCAAGTTAGCAATGTAAACAAAAAAAACAGTTAAGAAATTGTTAACTGAGTTCATAATTTAAGTGATAAGTCATTTAATTTTCTCTCTAAAACTGTGTTTTGTTTTTTTTATTCGCAAACTGAATAATCATCCCCTACTGGCCATTAAAAGGAATGCAGGAATGCTGTTCAGATGCACAGCTTGCATTCACCTATTATATACAGTTTGTGCTAGATACACATGATATTGCAGTATAATTCAGTTTCTACAGCTCTGAATGCTCATCATGTCTTTAAAACACAAAAAGGGGACATTTTAGTCCAAATGAAGCTACAATTTATTTATCAGGACTGGTGTATTACACCATAACCCACTGAGCAAAAACTTACCGAAAAGACCTCTAAGCAATGTTGACATTTGGTATGTCTTTGAACTGTAGGAGGAAACCTGAGTACTCACACAAGCCCAAGGAAAACATGCAAATCCACACAGAAAGCCTACAACCAACCAACCGGGGGGTTTATACTCAAAACCTTCTTTCTCAGATGCCCTAATTTGTAGCCACATGTATACAAATAGCACAAGCACATTTGTTAAATATTAGTCTTTCCAATACGCTGCAAAGAGGACTCTTCAGCTTTCACTTTTTGAACAAATTTATATGTGAAGTGGCATATTTTTAAAGTCTTTGACTAGCTGACCAGATTTAGCCCAGAAAATGTCATCCATTGATGTCTGGTGCTTGGTGGGATTAGTCTTGAATGGCTGTACACACTCCCAGGAAAGTGTGTATGTCATACCGTACATCCTTATCAAAAAGCTAAGAAATACACAGTGTACAGGAGTATATGCTCACAGTGTAAATAACAACACACTCATACTGTATTTTTGGGAACTCCTTGCACAGAAAGAGCTTGTGATTATTCACCTTCACAGCTGTGTGTTGGCCTGTCTTTGTGCGACAGATAAACCTCTTTGCTCTGTGTTTATGGCTGTTTTGTTGTTTCGGTCCCAAAGCCACGGCTTGGACCAGTAAGAATTCCCGATGTGGTATCCTGGCAATGGTTGGGTTTCCATGGCCGTCGCTGGCTTGGCAGGACAGATAACGGCCTCCCAAGTGGTCAGCTTTGTGCGTTCCTTTTGGTCTGGCTTGGGCTCGCTCCAGTGTGGCTTTCAGTGAAACGGTGCGAGGATGAGACGATGTCTGATTGTAGAGGGAAGCTGGTGCAGGAAGCAGAAAATGACACAGATACATATGTTTAGCTGCTCGTCCTCTCAAAGGAGGCAGAGTTCTGCTGTGAGCAAAGTCATCGTGATCACAGGCAGCAGACACGCCGGGTGGCTGCTTCAGAAAGAAGGCGTGCGCGAATACTTCAAACCGCCCAGAAAGCAGCGACGACGACGAGAACAGCAGCGCGTTTACGTGTTTACGTTTCTGTATAGAAAATAAGGAGCGCTAAGCCAGTGATATGTCACACTTTTAGAAGCAGTCTCAGTGGGTGTGTGTATGTGTGCGTGTGCATATGTAATCCTTTGCCCTTCCGGCGTCACTCCGGTGTGAATGATTTAATGTTTAATTGAACTGACAAGAGTAACAGTAATGCAAGTAAATGGTTAACATGCTACTTTTCAGTTACCACAACTTTGAACTCCATTCATAACACCAGGACACTGTGTATTCTGTTCAACTCTTTACCTTTATTTACTTTACCAATCATTATAATACATTATTTGTGCTATAGTGTAGAGTATAACAGTTAGAGTTGCACCAGATATGCAACATATTAATATCATGTTTTAACTTACTCATGCCGCTAAAAAGAGGGCAGAGATATAGACTGCCAAAGCTCTCCTCTGCAGCACACGTCCTGACTTTACTCGTCCTTTTAAACTGGATTTTGCTGGGGGTCAGCGGTGCTGGTGCTGTGTTGCTGCAGGACGATAAGCGTGCTGTAGATCACCCACTTTTTACACAAAAAAATGTTTTGTGTACACCGATCATAAACGTCTTGTTTTTTTACTCCAAATACTCCATCCAGATTTGTGAGGTGGTCGCTCCTTGTGCAGGATTGTCAAGAAAGACAGAGAGAATGTGATGGCAGACACGCTCTCTTGGTCTTTTGGAAGACGTTGGTGTTATGGCTATTATTACATTTCTTGCAGTTTAGTAAGTTGTTTCTTGTTTTAATTCTTTGTGTGCCGGTGTGACGCCTCTAGCTTTGAGGATCTTTGAGTGTACCTGCGGGTCAACATCTGGCCATTTTAAAAGCCCTGGTTCCATCCTCGACCGGTAAACCTCTGTGAAAATGCGTGTTTCTTGTTTAGAGACCTTTGCAGCTCTTTGCAAACGATTAACCCACATGTTGTTTATGTCAGTGAAGCAGAGGGCGTGAACTGCATTTATCTTTTGCACAGTTTTCCTTTGCCTTGCTTATTTTAGGGTGTTAGGCTTACCGCGTGCCTTTCATTCAGTTTTGTTTTCACTTATGTAAATACAATAGATAAAGATTAAAACTTTTATTTGCCATTTGTACATATGAGCTAGGTCTGAGTACATAGCGCTTAGAGTCAAATAAATACACACAAAGTGCATTTACAGGTGAAGTTAGGTTTCTTTTTTTAAACAGACAAAGATGAAGAAAAAAAATATATCGAGTAATTTCAAGTGTAGAACAATAGTTCCTTTATTGCACTTAAATGACTGTGGAAA